TAATGGAATTCCTCGAAAAAATTCTTAAAAATATTATTAAAATTTATTAAAATACAAATTTAATCGAATTTGTCGAAAGAATTCAATTTTTTCCATAAATTTTAATGAAATTCTTTGGAAGTATTCAATTATTTCTTAATTTTTAATACAATTTATTGTAAGAATTCAATTATATTTTCGAAAATAATAAAATTCTTCAAAGGAATACAGTTATTTTCAAATTTTTGATCAAATTTATTTTTGTATTTAAATAATTGAATTCTCGTAGAATTTTATAATAAAAATTGATTTAAAAAAATGAATTTCATAGTTAAAATTTTAGATATAATTAAATTTTGAAAAAGTTTCAAATTAAAATCTTTGAAAATTTGAATTTTTCATATTTTTAAGTTTTAACTAAATATTCTGTAGAATTCATTTTTTTTGGAAAATTTTAATTGAATTTTTCTTTTTTTGAAATTATTTGAACACTTTATTTTTTAATATATTATTTAATTGAAGAATTTTCGAATAATCGAAATTTCGTAAAATTTAATTGTAAACACACGAATTTGAAAACTTTAAAGGAAATTTTGCAAAAATTATTAAAAATAATTGATAATAAAATTCTTTTGAAGAACTTTAATAGAATTTTTGAAAATAATTACATATTTCGAGGAATTCGATTAAAATTGTATTAAAAATAATTGAAATTCTGTGAAGCATTTTATTATTTAGGAGAATAATTGAATTAATTCAACGAATCTTTATTACATTTTTTTTTAAATAATTGAAATCTTGTGAAGAATATTATTATTTATGAAAATAATTGAATTCTTGCAACGAATTTTATTACATTTTTTTAAAATAATTGAAATCCTTTAAAGAATGTTATTCTTCATGAAAATAATTGAATTCCTACAAAGAATTATACCTATTACATTTTTTTTTAAATAATTGAATTCTTTTGAGAAATTTTATGAAAATAGTAGATTTTGAAGATACACAAAAATCAATTTTCTGAAAGTTACAAATTATTGCAGAAATTCAATTATTTTCACAAGTAATAATATTCTTTGCAAAAATTAAATATTGTTCAAAAGTAATAAAAATTCTTCTTAGGGATTCAATTATTTTCAGTATTTTCAAAAATAATAAAACTCATCGGAGAATTTCAATTATTTTTAATACAATAAATTTTAATCGAATTTCTCGAAGAATGTAATTATTCTTTTAAATATTTTCTAAAAAAAAATTCAATAAATTGCAGGTCAAGTGGTGAATGAAACTTCAAAATTTACCGATCAATAAGTGAAAAAATATGAATTAAATTTTTTTTTTATTGAAAGGAAAAAAATACTACTCAAGAATTTTTTTTTTTATTAAAATGTAAAAAAATACTAATTAAAAATTTGTATTCATTACAAAAAGAAAAAATAGCTTGACATATAAATTTTACCCAACAAAATAATAAATTAGGAAAATTTGTTTTAATATTTGAGTATATTAAAGCTTAAATGTAAATGATATGTATACTTGAATAGAGGGGACCCTTGTGTGCAATGAACTTTAGAAGTAGAGTTTAAATCATTCAATGACCTCTTTAATTTAAATGGCACTTGCAGTGAATTGTTAAATAACTTTTTTAATGCTCCTCAAATTGATAAATGTTCCTTCAACTTGTGATATTGCCTTCTCTGTCTCTTTTTTTTTCTCTCTCATCTATATTGTGCGAATATAATATTAACGTCCCTTGTTAACGCCTCATTATGCACATATTATATTGTAATACAAAAAGAGTCGCTTAAAATGATAAAATTTCCAATAACAGTATTAAAATATTATTTTTCTATACATAATTGATGATGATGTAATTTTAATTGGTAATTAATTTTCTTCTGAAATGTTTTGTTATTCATAATAATTAATTACTAATAATTTTTTATAACTTTTTATTAATAATTAATTATTATGAATGTCAATTATTATTATACTATAAATATAATAATTTCAAAAATAAATTTAAAAAATGCAATAATTATTAATAATAAATTTAAAAAAATTATTGAAGTTTTGAAAAAAATAATTTTTAATAATTGAAACAATTAAAATTTTTAATTCGATTACTATTTTTTGTGGTTTGTTAATATATTAATTTAAGTAATTTTCAGGCCAATTTTTGGCCAATTTTTGTGGTTAAAAAAATTGGCCTAAAAATTACTTAAATTAATTAAAATTTTTATCAAACTAGCAACAATTTTAACTTTTTACTTCATTTTTTAAATATAATTAGCAATTTTAAAAATAATAGAATTTAAAAATTTTTAATTCAAATTTTTGTTGAAAACACTAAAAAAAATTCAATTTTGAAGAAATTACAAATAATCGCATGAAATTTAATTATTTTCAAAAGTAATAAAATTCTTCTCATAAAATTCAATTATATTCAAAATTAAAAAAAAAGTCTCGTCAAAATCCCAATTATCTTTGTAAATCACAAAATTTTTCCCCAAGTTCAATTTTTTTCAAAACTGACAATAAAATTCTTGTCCTAATTTCAAATAGAAGATATTGAAAACAATATCTACTATTTTAATAAAATTTTCCGAAAAGAATTCAATCATTTAAAAAAGAATTTTAAAAAATTGTACACAAACATTTAATTATTTTCAAAAATAATAAAAATTACGCAGGAATTCAATTATTTACAAATTTTTTATAAATTTCCTCGCAATAATTCAATTATTTTCATAAATTTTTAATTATTATAAATTATTAGAAAACATGAAGAAATCAATCACTCTGAGTCTTCGACTCGGAGCAATTGATATCTTCATGTTTTATAAACAATACTTTTATAAGTTGTTTAATTTTAAAAAGGTTTGAATTTGAAATTTTTGAAAATTCTTATTCCTATGGAAAAATAATAATAATTAAATATTTATTTAAAAAAGAAGTTATTTATGTTTTTGAATAATTTTACAATTAAAGAAATTTGTAAATAAAAGTAACAGAACATTTTTTTGACTAACATTTTTTCCTTTATTTTTAAAAAATTTTTAAAGTTTCAATTTCATTTACAATTAAAATTTGTAATTGACAAATAGAATTTATAAACATTTTTTTTCTTTATTTTAAAAAAAAACTTTGAATTTTATTAAAACAATTGTAATTAAGAAATAGAAATTATGTAAATTATTCCCTTCTGAAAATTGAAAATTTTCTACAAAAATATTAAGAAACGGGAATATGTAATGATTTTTTTTGCAAAAGAAACGAATTTTATTAGAAATTTTAAAGATTACTTAGTTTTTGAAAAATTTTAATAATTCAAATTCTTCTGAAATTTGTTAAATTTGTTAATATATATTTAATTAATTATTAAAAATAGTGCATTTATAGACGAATTTTACTCAAAAACAATTAAAAAAAATCGAATATTATAAAAATTATAAATGATTGCATAAATTTAATTATTTTTAAAAGTAATCAAATTCTTTTCCGAAATTCAATTATTTTTAGAATTTTTAATAAAATTCTTGCCAAAAATCAATTTTTTTTAAATATTTGGAAAAATTTCAATTATCTTCAAAAATTTCCCTCAATTTCATATGAATTCTATTATTTACAAATTTTTTATAAATTTCTAATTTATTTATTGAAAATAATTTAATTATTTTCAATAAATAATAAAATTTTTTACAGGGATTGAATTATTTTCTTAAATAATAAAATTCTTATTAGGAATTCAATTATTTTCATAAATAAAACTCATTGTAGAAATTCAATTATTTTTAATACAATTTTAATTGAACTTTGTGAAAAATGTAATTGTTCTTAACAATTTTATTAAAAAATCTTCACAAGAAATCAATTATTTAAAAATGTTTTGAGAAACGTCTTCATGAGATTTCAATTTTAAGAGATATTTAATTATTCAATAAATTATTTGTTTTTGCAATTAGATAATTGAATTCTCGTAAAATTTTCTAATAAAAATTGATTTAAAAATATACTTATAACCAACAATTCTGTAGAATTAATTATTTTGAAAAAGTTTAATTGGATTTTTTTCTGAAATTATTTGAAGTGTTTATTTTTTTAATACGTATTTAATTGAAGAATTTGTGAATAATTGAAATTTCATAAAATTGAATTGTAAATAAATGGATTTGAAAATTCTCAAAGAACTTTTTCAAAAATTATTAAAAATAATTGATTTAATGAAGAATTTTATTTAAAAATTCTAGAAAATAATAGGTGAATTAAAATGATGAAAATAATTTTTAATAATGATTAAATATTTATTTAGAAAAGAAGTTATTGATATTTTCGAATAATTTTACAATCGTTTTTAACAAATAGAAATTTTGTAAATATTTTTTCCGAAATAAAATAAAAATGTTTTAAACAAAATTTGATTTATAACATTTTTTTTTACTTAAAACTTGAACTTACTTTGTTTATGAATATTGTAATTGAGAAGCAGAAAATGTGCAAAATATTTTCTACTTTCTAATTTTAATTTCCCCAACATTTAAAAATTTTTTTTTAGAAAAAGGAAAAAATTGCTGCATAATTTCGATTTGTCAAACAATTAAGTTTTTCATATTAAAAAAAGGATAATATTTTGCAGAATTTACATTTGTTAATTTCCTAAAACGTTTGTTACAAAATGCTAATTTTTTCTAGAAACAAAGAAATAATGAATAATAACTTTAATAATTTTTTTAAATTAATAAAAATATTTTTGAATTATTTAAAAAATAAAGATAATATTATTGAATTAAAAATTGTTTTGAAATATTATTATTGCTAGAGTATCACTTATTTATTTAATAAATAACTAAAATAAATAAATTAACTAAAATTAAATAAATTAAATAAATTTACTAAAATAAATAAATATTTAACTAAAATAAATAAATGTTGAACAAGGGAATATTAAAAAAGTGCAAATACATTTTTCATATATCAACAATTTTATTATCTAAAAAATCTATATTATAATTACATATATAAAAATTGCAGTATAAACATTAAAAAATAGATGAAAATCGACAGTATGAAAAAGTGACAAATTGTTCCGACATTTTTTTCGATTTGTATTTGTATATAAATGAAAAAGAAAGTTTAAATTTCTCAAGAAGAGAAGGTAATTGAAAGTTATTGACATCGTAAGACAGAAATCACGTTATATATATGAAATATATATATATAAAACTGGGTATATTATTAAAAGAAGGAGATAAAAAAAAGAGAAAAAAAATAGAAGATAAAAGTCTGATAGATTAAAACGTCATTGAAAACGGATATAGATACTTAGAGTCTCCTATTGGAATTCCCAAAGAGTTTTACAATCAACTTTCACTGTCACTCTCTCATTCTGACAAGAACCTCTCTAACACGTACACACAGATAGAGAGAGAGAGAGACACACACATATATATATATACACATACATTTATTCATTTTCTCTATTTTCTGTCTTCTTTCCTTTTTTTTAAACTCTTTTCCACCAAAAGCATTTCTATGGATTGTTTTCTTTTCTAACGTGTACTTTTTCTTTAGTTTCCTTCTTTCTTTCTTTCTTTCTTGCTTGCTTACTTTCTTTCATTCTCTCTTGCTTACTCTCATTCAATATTGTGTGTTCGGTGTAAGAAAGATAGCAAATTCTCTCTCTCTCGTGTGATGCCAACTTGATTTTAGGATTTATAATACTTTTGTATTAGTCTCGCCCATTCTATTGGATATTCTCTTTGAACGTGTGCTAGAACTTTTCTGATGTAGGTAGCTTCTTCCTGGGTACATTGTGGACAGCTGCCTCTTAATACCAATGGCGCTAGACCTAAAAAAAGAATTTATTTTAAATTTCAGTTTTTTTCTTTTTTGTTTTAGGTGGTTTGGGAAAAAATAAAATTGAAGATAACACAGGAAAAACGATAATCTAATTTTAAGAAGCGCCTATAATAATGTACAATTATTTTCAACAATTTTGATAAAAATTCTTTACAAAAATTCAATAATTTTTTTTTCAATATATAATTCCAATTAAATTACTCGATTAATTTAATTATTTTTAGAATTTTAAAAATGTTAAGTTTACCTATTGTCGATTCACGGTCATTGTAATAAGCAACTCAAACAAAGGACAATTTCATTCAAGGCAATCATTTACATTTTTATATCTCAATTTTTTTTTCTTTGGACTTTTTTACCAGGACAAAAGATCCAAGTAAATAAGTCCAAAATGAAACTATTTTTTTGTTTACTTTTTTGGATTTCATTTAGTTTGGATTTTTTGGTTTGGACTTTTTGTCCGGATACCATTATAGGTTATGTTTGTTTTAAGATTATCTTGATTAAAAGTTTTTTTTTCAATTATTTTAATTTGAAAACAGTTTTTAGTGAATATTTTTGATGTAACGAAGACTTGAACATTGATTATTTGTAATAATAATTTATTCTCTATCGGTATTTTTACTCCAAAAAATAAAAACATAGCCACAAATTTTTTGCTCTTTAGGTATACCTTTCTTGGGACAATTTTTTATTTATAGTTTTTTATTTCTTTTAAATTTTTGAAATTAAATAATAATTTTTCTATTGAATAAAAGATATAGTTTTTTAATAAAACTATTTTTTATTCATAAACTGTTATAGGAATTATCATTGTTATTATCATTAATATTATTATTATTATTATTTATCATTGGTATTATTATTTTTTCTGTTCGAAAAAAATATTCTATTAAACTTCACTCTTTCTCTCTAAATTTGAGTTGGTAAAAATGTTTACTAATTTGAATTAGGTACTGACTTTTTGGTTTGAATTAGTTATTTAACTAATAAATAGTAATTTCTACTAATTTATTAGTAAAATTTATTAATTGCTTTTGAATACTTTTTCTTTTAAATTAGTAAATTTTACTAATAAATTAGTAGAAATTAAAAATTCAAATTTGAATTAGTGACTGATTTTTTGTTTTGAATTAGTAAATTAAAATTAGAATTTACTAATAAATTAGTAGAAATTAAAAATTCTAATTTGAAATAGTAACGGACATTTTGCTTTTGAATTAGTAAATTTTACAAATAGATAGTTAATTTTATTTATTTTTTATTAATTTATTAGTAAAATTTGCTAATATATAGTAATTTCTACTAATTTATTAGTAAAATTGACTAATAAACAGTAATTTCTACTAACTTATTAGTAAAATTTTCTAATTTAAAAGCAAAAAGTCAGTTTCTATTTCAAATTAATAAGGATTTTTATAAATTCAAATTGAGAGACTTCTATTGTAAAATTAATCTTTACTAATAAATTAATTTTTTACTAATCATTTTGGCATTTAATAAAGAAAAATTATTTATTTTGTCTTAATATTTATTCTTGAGTTTGTCTTAATTTGAAGAAATTAAATAAAATAAAATTTGTTTTACTGCTTATAATTAATAATTATTAATTTCTACTAATAATTGTTTTGGAAATTATTAAAAAAATTTTTTTATTTTATTCCTTCGAAATTATAAAAGTTAAATAATAATTCTTTCTGTTGAATAATTTATAGTTTTTTTCAAATAATTCTTTTCTTATTTATGAAGAAAAATTGTGGATCTCCTTTTTTTAATTTTACCTACTTCTTTTTTCAAATAAAAAAATTTTAATTAAATGAATTAAATAGAATTTTTGTTTAAATTTAATAGCAATATAGAAAAGTATAATCTTTACGTACTTGAAGTAAGTATTTTGCAACTGAAGATAATAAAATAGTAATAATAAAAGTACAATGATAGTAAAAATTAAAATAATTATTATTATAATTATTAATTATTAATTATTATTAATGAGTTGACAATTGTTTCGTGAAAAATTCTGGGAAAATTCAAATGATAAAATAATAATAATAGTAGCAATAATAGTGATAATAATTTTAATAATTATAATAATAATATTAAAAATTGTAATGATAATGTTAATAGTTATAATAGTAAAAATGAAGAATAATGAAATGTAGTAAAAGAAGTCAAAGTATTTATAATAATAAAAATAAAGAATAATAAAATAGTAAAAATAGTAAAAATAGTAAAAATAGTAAAAATAATAAAAATAGTAAAAATAATTAAAAAAGTAAAAATATTTATAATAAAATAAAAATAAATTTATATTAATCAAGCATTGGGAAAAATTTGCTTCTGTAAAATAAATGACTTGAATGCTAAATTTATAATAGTGAAGGTGAAAAAATAATTCGTCGTCAAATTTACTTTTCAATCGACGACCAACTGAGTCACATTTGATATTCTCCAAGGCGCACGTTAGTTGCTTCTTTATATAACGACTGTCTTTCAAAGCAATTTCCAAATCTTCCTCGGAGATTTTTGGTTTATTCTGCTGTCCCTCGAGAGGAATAGCTGTTACTGCGTAGATTGCCAGGCACATTACGGAAATCTGCAATATAATTTTTTTTTTCCTTTTTAGTATAATTAGCACTTTATGAAGTGAATAAAAATTGCGTATTTTTTCCTTTCATTATAATTATTAATTAATTCATTGAAAAAATAATATTTGAAGAATAAATTTTCATTATGTGAATGCGTATGAATACTTTTAATCTCGCTTTTAATTTTTCTTTTTTGAATCAAAAAATTTTTTTTCAGTATATATGTCGAATAAAATTTTTATTAAAATAAAAATAATAATGTTACACATATAATATATGTGTCGCAATTTGATACTATGAAAAAGAATTCAATGTATAATATAAATTATAAATGCGAATTCACCGCTCTTAAAATGCAGACATTGTTAAATGCATCCCAAAGAGAGTGCGCTAGATTTGAGTGTCCTTGACAGGCGATATTTCAAAAAAGGACCCATACTTAATTATACACGAGGTCGTCATTAGTGTTTTCCTCTAGTCTCGACTTCATAAGTCACATAAAAACATTATTATACAATATCATTTCGAACTTGCTATTTGTTGTACAATTTTTTTTTCTTTTTATCACTTTTATACTTTTTTTGCTCTCAGTTCGTATTATTAATTTTTATATTTCTTTTAATTTCACTTCAAATTGTTATTATTTTTACAAAATAAAAGTAATATTGAAAGTGGTAATAACAATAATGTCCATTCCTGTCTAATGGGCTCAAGTATTAATAAAGAAGTAGAAATAACAATATTAAAAAAAATAATAATGAAAATAGTTTTTAAAAATATGTAATAATTTTACAATAAAAATAATTTTACAAAATAATAATAATAATAACTTTAAAAAAGTAATTTTAAAAAATAATAATAGTAACTTTTAAAAAAATAGTATAAGAATAATTAATTAAAATTAAGATTTAACAATGGAATTTGGATTTTGTGAACAGAAAAAATAAGATATAAAATTATAATTATAAACTATAAGATCGAGGTTTAAATATCTAAAGCGTTACAAATATAATAAAGATCAATTTATCATAATTTTAGAATTGTTTTTATAAAAATATAAATAAAAATTAAATTATTAGGAGCTAGGATTAGAATCCTTAAATTAGGAATGTAATGAGGATAAATTTATCGATTCTAATTTAGTTGTATAATATGTATACCAGTTTGGTTATAGAATCAAAATCCAGGATTAAATTTCAAGTACGATGCGCGTTAATATTTAATATTTTCAACTTGATGGAGTAAAATTAATCTTAATAATTAATATTAATCGCAATTAAAATTTGTATTTATAATTTAATTTGAATTAATTAATTTTATACAGAAATTTATATTTAACTATAAATAATACTTTCTTTTAAAGATTTAAATTTTATTTATATTGAGAATATAATTGAATTTTTATACAAAATTATATTAAAATATTTGATAATGATTGAATTGATTCGAAAAATGTTTTAAAAAAATTGAATTCCTTCGAGAAATTTTTTTGAAAATTGTAATGAAAATAATTGAATTCGTACAAATGAATTTTATAATTTACGAAAATAATTGAATTCTTAGGGAAGAATTTTATTAAAATTTTAGAAAATAATTTAATTCTTTTAAGGATTTTAATTACAATTGTTTTGAAAATAATTTTCTTTTCCAAGAATTTTAATTAAAATTCTATTAAAAATAATTTAATTTTTGATAAAATTTTAGAAAACAATTAAATTTTTTCGATATGATTTCAATTACAATTGCATTGAAAATAATTTAATTTTGAAATCAAATGTTACATAATTTTTAAAAAGAATTGAATTCTTTAGGGAATTTTTTTAAAAATTGCATTGAAAAGCTTAATTCCGTTCCAAGTATTTTATTAATATGAAAATAATTGAATTCTTGTAAAGAATTTTAATAAATTTTTTTAAAAGAATTGAAATCTAGATAAAATTTTTGAAAATTATTAAATTATTCAAGAATTTTAATTACCATAAAATAGTATTGAAAATAATTAAATTGTCCTAGAAAGAATTTAATTATTTATGAAAATAATTTAATTCTTTCAAAAATTTCACTTATAATATATAATTGTATTTTAAAAGTAATTGAATTATTTCGTGAAATTTTCTAAAAATTGAATTAAAAATTAATTTTTTGAATAATTTGCGAAAAATTTTTTTACGCATATAAATAATTGAATTTTTGGGAAGAATGTTATTAAAATTTTCAAAAATAGTTCAATTCTTTCAATTATTGATTGTATTAAAAATAATTGAATTCTAGTTAAAATTTTTGAAAATAATTGAATTAATTAAATTAATTAAATTTTTTCGATGATTTCAATTATCATTGCATTGAAAATTATTGTATTTTTAAATCAAATGTTACGTAATTTTTAAAAAGAATTGAATTCTTTAGGGAAATTTTTTAAAATTGTATTGAAAAGCTTAATTTTGTTTCAAGTATTTTATTATTATGAAAATAATTTAATTCTTGTAAAGAATTTTAATAAAAAATTTTAAAATAATTGAATTCTAGATAAAATTTTTTTATTATTATTTATTTATGAAAATAATTTAATTCTTTCAAGAATTTCACTTATAATTATATTTTAAAAGTAATTGAATTGTTTCGAGAAATTTTTTTAAAATTGAATTGAAAATAATTTTTTAAATAATTTTTTAAAAATTTTATTACATGTATAAATAATTGAATTCTTGTGAAGAATTTTATTAAAATTTTCAAAAATAGTTCAATTCTTTCAATTATTGATTGTATTAAAAATAATTGAATTCTAGTTAAAATTTTTGAAAATATAAATTCTTTCAAGAATTTCAATTACAATTCTATTGAGAATAATTGAATTTTAAATCGAATTTCATTAAAATCTTTAAAAAGTTAAAAATAGTTGAATTCTTACAACTTTTTTTCAAATTGTATTACAAATAATTTATTTTATTTTCTACAAAACATTTTTTTTAAATGGTTGATAATAATTGAATTCTTACAAAGAATTTAATTGCTTTAGTTATTAATTTTTAAAAAAGAAGGGAATAATTTTTTGACATTTAATATATATACGTGAACATAGATAGTTGAAAATATTAATCCAAATTTTTACCATCTTTGAGATAGTAAAATAATTTTACAGTGACATTCTTTTTTCTTTCATATAGACATTTGAGTAAAATATGATCGAATTTTGATGGAAATCGCTTTGAACAGAATGGAGTGAAATTGTAGGTATATATATATAGAGAGAGTTTACGAATAAAAATTGAAATTACATTGGGATTAACATGAATCATGAAAAGTATATAGTAACACCCGAGAGTTGCAATGAATGTAATGCGAAAGTTAGTATTAAAGTGAAAATGAAAAAATGAGTCGAAGTGAAATAAAGTAGTTATTTTAATTATAGAGCATTGAAATGTCCTCGCCGGTTGGTGGTCCCGGTATTAAGGCGCTCGTAAAATATATAGTACTCTGCGTAGGTGCACATTCCCGTGAGCACCATTATATTTTATGGTAGTCGTAGACACGGATACTAATGGTTTTCCCATTAATACTCGATACCTTGAAACATATATCACTTTCGTTCGATGAATCGTAGAATTGATGGACCTACGTGTCCAAACACGAACGTCCATCAATTAACGCAATTTCCAACTTCCTGCATCCCAAATATTCTCTTCTCTCCCTCTATCTCTCTTTCTATAAATATTTATTTAATTAACCTCTCAATTCGTATACTTTAATAATTAATTGCTTCTACAAGTGGTGTGTGCATTGGATTACATTTTCTTTGTTTTTCTCTGTTTCTACCTTGATTTTCACACTGAAGAAAGGAGATGAGAAATTTCTTTCCTTTCTTCAGTGGGAAGAGGCGCTCTGACGAAAGGTATACCTAAGAAGCTATGAATTTTAAGGTTATGTTTGTTATTCTGAATTTCGGTGTCATTTTTATTTGCTTCATAAATTATGAAATTATCACAAATTCTATTACAAAACCTTCAAGTTTTTCTATTTTATTAAAATTATTGTCAAAAATTCAATTATATTCTTCTCCAAGATTCAATTACACAGGCCGACAAAATTTTGTCGAATTTCAGAAGCAAGAACCGCACAGTATTTTTCCGAAGATTTTTGACGTGCTGAATCCGAATCTGACCTTAGAATTGCCCTATCACGTTAGGTTTTTGAGATATTCTAACCTAAAAGTGCCAAAAACACGTTCTTTGGGCATTTTTGAAGTCCTGTACAATCAAGAGAAAATTTTTTTTCTAAAAGTTATTTGCTGCATCTGAAAGTACTATTCTTCCCCTTTAAAAAGCCTTTTTAAACTTGAAAAAATCTTTATTTCTGACTGAGATATCGTCATTTGAAGTTTTTGAATGTTGTAAATTGGTCAATATTCGTATACTGACCACATTCAAAAACTTCAAATGACGATATCTCAGTGAGAAATAAAGATTTTTTCAAGTTTTAAAAGGCCTTTTAAAGGAGAAGAATAGTATTTTCAGATGCCGCAAATAACTTTTAGAAAAAAATGTTCTCCTGATTGTACAGGACTTCAAAAATGCTCAAAAAACGTGTTTTTGGCACTTTTAGGTTAGAATATCTCAAAAACCTAACGTGATGGGGCAATTCTAAGGTCAGATTCGGATTCAGCACGTCAAAAATCTTCGGAAAAATATTGTGCGGTTCTTGCTTCTAAAATTCGACAAAATTTTGTCGGCCTGTGTTATTTTCGAAAATTTTAATAAAATTCTCGTCAAAATTTCAATTATCTTTTTAAATTATAAAATTTTTTGTAGAAATTCAATTATGTTCAAAAATTTTTAAAAATCCTTCTCCAAATTTAAATTATTTTTAAAAGTAATCAAATTCTTCTCAAAAATTCAATTATTTTCAAAAATTTTAATTAAATTCTCGTCAAAATTTCAATTATCTTTATTGATAATAAAATTCATCTCCAAAATTCAATGATTTTCAAAAATTTTAATAAAATTCTCGTCAA